ATATCAGCATTATGAAACAGAAAATTATTTTGTTTTCCCTAGTCTTACACAGTGTCAGTGCCATGAAAAGAACTAGAAAAAGATACCAAAACCAGGAATTGCAGTGGTCACATACTGTGTCTTATATTAAAATGTATCTTTTATATAGCTTTTCAGCAGAGTAAATCTGATCATAATAATTTTATTCATCATTCAAAGAGAAAATATTATGAAATCAGTTTCCTGCAATTATTCCAATGTTTGGGGGGGGGGTCCTGCTCCCCCTGCCAGGTTTTCATATCTCTAATTGTTCCTGAACCTAAAGATGTTATTGTTATTAATTTATAGTCAGCCCTGTATTGTGAGTTGCCAGGATGAAATACCATTAAAAATAATTTGAATGTTTTAAAATAGATTAAAACACTTGAGTGGAGTTGGGGTATGGTTGGGAAGTATCAAAACTTAAAAGCCCTGTCAACTTGTAGTGCTGGGGAGATTCACCAAGTCATTTATGAACTGAAAGAATTTTTAAAAGCTGCTGAAAAAGTACAGTCTGCCAGGCTTGGCCTAATGACATGGGTATCAGTTGGCCGATGGGTGAGGGGACCACTCAGAGCAGGGGAGTTGGCACTACTTCCCCTCCATTGTGGTAATCCCAGTTTGTTTCTGAACAGTTTGAATCATAGAACTACATATGTTTGTGACATGTAAAAGACATTCAGTCTGCCCTAGGTGTGCTGTGGTACACATTTAGTTCCCTCCCCCCTTTATAGCTCATTCTGGCAGTTTTCTTTTGCTTTCCTTCATGTCTGTTTTCCTCATTCACATCCGTCCAAACCCATCTGAAGCTTCTCTTTCCAGTCTTCTAACATCTTTTCCTGCCTCTTGCTTCCTTCTCCCTACACAAATAGCCAAGCACATTAATTTGCTCCAGAAGTCTAAATGTAGGAGGTGCAGCTGGTCTGAATAGAGTCCTCGCTTTTGTATTTATTGTCTGCTCTTTCGTGCATGCATAGTTGTTGGAGTTTCTCTCTCTGGCTGATAGTAGATATCTTTTCGTTTTTAAATACACTTAGGCAAATCTCCAGTTACCCAAGTATGTAGATTTAGGGGCTAAACACACTGGCAAAATACACCAGCTTTCCGGTGGCTTGGGGACATGGAGTCCGCATGCTTCATGCCCCGACTCCGCCCACAAGCCAGCATTGCGCCGCCCACCCAACCAGATGGTGGGCAGCGTTGCGGCATTTTGGCAGTGAGGCGTTTAAACACTGCATGCCTCCAAAAATGCAGAAAAACCTCCATGGCGGCGGCAAAGGTGCCATTTTCCCAGTGCAAAAAGTAGTGGCTTTCTGCCGCTTGTCTTTGTGCTGGGAAAATGCTGAATTGGGGCCGTGGTGTGCGGTTGCCGTGGTCCCAATCCGACGCTTTACCGCCATCTGTTTCAGCCTTATCTTTTGCTTTTTGTTGGGCTGGTTTGCTTCCAAAATTACCAGTACAGCCCACCTAAATTTAGTACTAGAAGAAAGTGTGATTTTAAAACTGATAACAGAGGAGTCAGGTGGGAGCAGAAACAAGAGGACCAAAGTTATTTTTCTGTCTCAGGCCTTGCAAATAATACCTTTGGCAACAGAACACTTGCAAAAGCTCAAGCTTTGTCTCCATGGGGTAAACTGTGAAGAACCTGTTGAACATTAAAGATATAATGTAACTTTAACTATATCATCATTTAAAAAAACTAACTCTAGTTTATTGTTAAATATGATCAGGTGCCGTAATTTCTACTAAGAAGGAGGACTTGACTGCAATCCTGGATCATTTCAACATTCAGGTAATTCAGCATAGTGTAACACCCTATGCAGTCTGTAAAAAAATAGTTTTCAACAATTAGTTGACTACAGCAAATAAGGACTTGGCTATCTGTTGCTTAAGAGCTTATGTCCAACTAGAGTGAGCACAGTTAGTAGTTCTTCTCATCCTTGAACTGCATTTCCATTACAACCCCTTGAAGCATCTTTTCATGTCATGCCTTACAAAGAGAGGGGACACTGTTTAGCTTTTGGAATTGTAGTATGTGGTTATGTGGACTTTACCTTTGAATTAAAACAAATAATATTGCTTGTCAGAAGGGCAGGATACAAATTATTATTATTATTATTATTATTATTAT